CGTACTCGTGTGACTTTGTGACTAACAGAGACCTTTACTGTTGTAAACGAATTTCAACCTCCCAACGTGTGTGTGCTTGTGAAGACAGGTGTTTAGTGTTATTAAGCAATATGTAAGTTTTTATATTTGACTAGTAAACTTGGACTTGTTCATTTTACTTTAATCTTATACTAAAATAGTTTAAAAATAAAGGAAGTTTTGTTACTTAAATACATTAACTATGTAATACATTTTATATATAGCCCAAGACCTTCTTCCTCATTCAGTGCAGCCCAGGCAAGCTGAAAGTTTGGACCCCGAGACCTATGACTGAGCCCCGTCCTATGCTTCCTGCGAGATTCGCCTCTTGCAGTGGCCTGGGCCATGGAATCTGAAGGGAGATCCCTGGGGATTGAATCATGGCTCTGCTGTTTCCTGGCCCTGTGGCTCCGGGCTTGGGTTTCCAGGATGCTAAGTGGGGAACAGACATACCTGGCTGAGTGGGTGGCAGTGTAGTGGGTCTCTGTGCCTGTCAGGTTGGTGGGTGAGTGCTGAGGGCCCTCTGTGGCTAGCCACTTGGATTCACCTGCTTATGCCATTAACCTCTCTATCTTTCCATTTCCTCAGCTATAAAGAGCACACACCTAGGAAGCTTGTTGAGTAGACTGTATTAGTTCTGTTATGCCTAGCATATAGACATGACACATAGTAGGCCCTCAAAAAGTTAGACTTTTTTTCTAAGCCTAGGAAACCTGAGTATTTTGGAGAAAACAGCTTTCCTTCCCGAAAATCAGTCTTGGTTCACTGTGTGCAGTCTATGCTGAGATGAGCAACAGCGAGACTCAGAGACAGGCAGACACACACTCTGGGTCACACAGGAGCAGTGGCCAGCTTACACCAGCCAGAGTCTCCTGCCTTTCAGCTGGCTCACCCTCAGCACCACTCCGCCTCTGTTTCCAGGCCCTGCTGGCCTGGCCTCTGACCCTGGCCCCCTGGGAGGCTGATCCCAGGCCCGTGGGGTCTTTGAGTCTGGTCTGGATTAGATACGCTGAGAAGCAAAGGATGGCCCCCCAGCCGGCCACCCGGTGGGACCCGAGCTCACAGCTGCTGAGGCTCACAAGGACATAAATCATGGTGGCAGGAGGCTTGGGGGCCGGGACCACCTTAGCCTCTGGAGGGGCACAGGGGCTCTGAGAGCCACAGACAGGCGTGCCTAGGTCCCCCAGATCTTTTCTGTCCTCTGTTGGGTTGGCCAAGGCACAGGTGGGTCAGAGAAGGACAGGGGATGGTTTGGCACAGCTCACATTCTCATACACCAAGGTCTTGGCTTCTTTACTCATCATTTTGCAAGCATTTATGAAGAAGCAGAGAAGAACTGAGAGGAGTGTGGGGAACCCTGGACACCCTTTACCCAGACTCTCCAGATTTACACAGGTCAGAGCATGCGCACTTTGTCCCTCTCTCCCACGGGCATAGTCTTTATTTTTTCAGATCCCATTGAGAATACATTGTTACCTATATCATGCTCTTCTATCCCTGAAGAATACTAACTTCTTAAGCACAAGGATATCCTCTTACATAACCATAGAACTGTTAGCAAATGCAGAAAACTTACCTTTGATACAATACCTCATTGTCCCAATTCTAATTCTTTCAGTTATTCTGTCAGCATCCTCCGTGGCATCCCCCAGCCCCAGCCCATAGCGCAGGCTCCCGTCCAAGGTCACAAGTTGCATGTAGATGTCCAGTTCTAGACTTTGATATCACACTAACCCAGGAGCCAAAATGCAACGTAGCAAGAGACACAGGTAGTACAGAAGACGTTCAGCTTTGCATAGACATCCCAGGAATTGATGTTTTTGTAGATCCTCTTATTATGTTCGCAAGATGATATGTTGTGCTTTGAGGCTGAGTGTAGGTGTATGAGAGTTAACTTGCTAATAATAGACTATCATTCTTCAGAATTCTTCTGTGATGCTTTTATTTACTACTATTTTTTGTGCTGGGGATTAAACCTAGGGCCTCATGTATGCTTGGAATATACTTTACCACTGAGCCATATCCCTAGCTTGGTTTTTATTTTTAAACTTATAATAGGAGCTTCATAAAATGGATGTGGCCTGGGCCAAGGCTATGTACATGTCCTCCATTACTTTCCTTCTGTTTTTCCATGGCTGTGGGTGACCTCTGAACCTTCCTGCTTATAACTGTGGAATTGCCTGGCAAGGGAGAAGACCTGGGCTTTTGGTGATCCAGCATAGTTGAATACTTGCTAGGGGACTGCAGACAGGACTCTTCATCTTGTCTCAGTTTCCTCACTGTGAAATGAGGCTTAGATCTTTGTCATCCTGAGCAATGTACTCTCCTGAGCCCTGAGCTTCTTCTCCCTGAGCAACTTGACTCCTCTGGCCTTAAGTTGGCCTGCGAAGTCTGTTGGGGGTGTCGAATCCCGGAGGCGGGAAGTGCGTGTAAGGGAGGGGCAGTGTTAGGAAAATGGCCCCCAGAGGTATTGGTCCACAGCTGTGCTTCTCCCAAGTCACGTGTGCAGGCTAGTTTTGCAGCGTACAGACTCATGGATGTTAACTGTCCATGGACCAGGAAGCCTGCAAGCTGCCCAGTGTGCAGAAGGGAGCACTATGCAACCTGGAAAAGGGAAGAACAGTTTGTGGAACATCATGGGCTCTGAGCAGCACTGTAGGGGAAAAATATCAAGCATGGAGTAGTGTAGAGGACTGTCAATTGTGTGGAAAAACTCTGTGTGTTTGTGCGTGTGTGTGTGTGTGTGTGTGTGTGTGTGTGTGTGCATGTGTAAACTGCCTATATTGCAGATCCTCTCTGCAGGAATTCATAAGACCCTGGTTCACAGTAATTGCCGCCAAGAATCAGAACTGAGTGGCTGGGAGGGAAAGAGACTTATTGTCAGTTTTTTTGCTTTTGTATTTTCTGAGTGGTGAGCTCTGTGAGTGCATTATCTATTTCAAAGGAGGTACGTGTGAGAGTAAGTACTGGCCCAGGCTTCCAAGGAGCTGCTGGCTGCATCTTGCGACCTGGTGAGTAACCACAGAGTGGGGCACAGATGCTATGTGTGGATAAGAGGTTTGCACTCAGTATGCTGTAGATGGCTGTTTAAGTGAGTGTGAGTGTGTGTGTGTGTGTGTGTGTGTAACACAACATGCTGTGGTTGTCTTTGGGATGGGTTTTATTTCTAGTGTCTCTTTCTTTGAATTCTTCACCATAAAGATATCAGCAGAGAAACTCATGGATATCTTTTCAGCAGTAATAGTCGGTGTAGAGCCTTTCTGGAAGGACCTATGGGAAACAGAGCTGCCTGCAGGGAGGGGTCTATGCTTTTCACTTCACACTATTTGATACAACTTGAGCTATTTGCCCAGTGGATAAGTGGTCTATTCAAAATTATTGAACAAAGTAAAAAACAAACACTTCCTCAGTTTTAGCTGTTCTTGCTGGCTAAAGATTGAGCCAAGAAGGCCCAGAGGGGTCAAGAAACATGTCTGGGGTCACCCAGCAAATCTGCTGGTAGAAGTGGGCCTCCAGCCCAGTGCACCCAAAAGTCTGTCCTGCTTCCACTCCCAGGTTTCCTGTCATTGACAAGGTCACAGTCTTTTTCCTGTGGCTTTGCCAGAGGCTGCCTGTACCTGGACCCAAGTAGGCGCGGGGAGAGAAATGTGCTTTCCTAATTAGCTCCCGAAGGGGAAACGTGGCCCCCTGGGACACAGGATAGGCAAGATGGCGCCCATGGAACACTGGGAAGGGGGGTGGAGGGCGCCTGGAGAGCTCTCCTGGGCTAAGTGGGTGGTGTGAGACTAGCGATTCTGGCAACTTCTTGTTCTCCCAGAGTTTTCATCGTGAGAAAATCCAGGAGGCTCAGCTCAGTCCCATGGTGACTGGCACAGGGCCTGGCACATGGGCTGGCCCCATTCAGGCTCACCAGAGGGTGAAGGACATGAGAGGAAATGTAAGCATGAATGTGGAATCTGACTCCAGAATGTCAACATTATAGAAAAATCTTGTTCAGTGAAAATAATTAAAATATGTCTATGAATGTACCTGGCTGCCTTCCCTGGTCTCTCCCTGCCTTCCCTCCCTCAGGGATCCTGAGCTGCTATGATCCTGGTCTCACAGGGACAGGGGTGCCGGAGTGCCAAGGACTCCTAGGCACACTGACCTGTCCTGTCCCCATCTTCATCTTAGCTGACACAGCTCTCATCACCAGGGCTGCTGGGAATCTATCCAGGGTCTCAGGGACTCGTACTTCATAGGGAAAGGGAAGGAGCTGCTCTGGGCCTGCTTTAAACAGTGGACAGGCTGCAGGGTGTCACCCTGCCATGTGCCTTTGGGTGTCATCAGTCCTCCACATCATCTCTCTCTAAAACAAGGGTAAGAGTATATGCCTCTAGTACATATTTGCACATGTGGAAAACTGCACCTGCACAACATTATTGGTGACAGCATCAATGACAGATGGGTTAAAGTATGGTGCATTCATAAAATGGAAATATCAGCTAATACAGGAATCAGGACACTGTTTCCATACTGATCTGGGGTGACGGCCAGCCAGATTAAGGGGGAAAAGGAAGAAGCATTAAGTGTCCTATGCTTTGTGCATTTGCTTGGTTATTCACAGAGAAGGGGATGTCACAGAAAACGGGCTAAACAGACTCTAGGAGGAGAAGTAGTAGCTGAAAGTCAGAGTGACTTCACCCTCATCCTCTTGCACCTTGATTTTGAACATGGATTTAATCCTTATGCAAAAATAAATAACATTAGGATTTCTCCACACCAGACACCAAATAGTTGTTCAAGACACTGCATACATGGAAGACCGTGGGAGGAGTGGTCACCTCCACTTCAGTCTCAGCCTGCCCAGGGGCTGGCCCCTAGTCCACTCCTCTAAGGCTGGCATTCCCGGCAACTCTGTGTCCCTTTCTAGGTCCTTCAAGGGACCACCTTCAATCTCTGCTGTTCAGAGACCCTTCCCTTCCTCAGCTGGAAATGACGTCTCTTATTTAAAAATACTTTTATTTCAAATTCCACCAACTCTCTCTCTCTCTCTCTCACGTACATCCATGCTCATGCACACACACACACACCCTTTATAGGTCACAAGTCTTTGGTTTTCTGATGTCTCTGAGCAGCTAGGCCTGGATAAGCTGGATGGGTCCTCATAGGTCTCCAGGGTGGGTTGGAGATATACCAGGGGCCTTCCCCAAAAGACCCTGCTCAGGCCATTGTTCTCTGGTCCCTACAGAAAAGGGATGGGTCCGGCACCTGGGGTCTTCTCCCCTGCCCAGCCAGGAGCTAGCTTCCTTCTCCAGAGTCCTACTTGGAACAAATGCTGCAATGGCTCAGGCTCATCTCCGTGGCCCTCGAAGCGGGGTCACCCCCCTCACTTTCAAGCAGCTGCCTCCCAAGTCACGACGGCCACCCTACAGAAGGAGAGAAAGAGGTGTCAGGAGGATGGGTCAGGTCACTGGGAACACAGTGCTCAAACTTAGACATTGTCTAAGGGCAAAAGCTAGAGCTGAACTGAGTGAATACCCGCCTGTTATGTAATTTCCAGACAGAGGAGCATGCAGGGAATTGCTAGTGGGTGTCTTCAGAGGACACACATACGATGATGGGGAGACAAAATGGGAGGGGGGCCTTTTCACTTGATATACTTTTACCTATATCTTCCCCATGTGATTGTACTTTTTAAAAAATCTACATTTAGCCAAGTGTGTTGGCACAGAGGGAGGCTGAGGCAAGCTCAACTCTCTTTGGGGCAACTTAGCAAGACAGTCTTCAAAAAATTAAAAATAAAAACCTCAAAATGGCTGGGAATGTAGCTCAGTGGCAGAGCACCCCTAGCTTTGATCTCCAGCAGTGCTGGGGAGTGGCAGGGAGAAAGCACGTGTAACTCCGAAATCCCTTTTCCAGTCTAGAGCCACACACAAAGTAAGTGCCAATCAATGCTCCCTGAGGCCGCTGGAGGACAAACTAATGGTGGTAGTCCTTCAGGCTACCCATCCCTCACCCCACAGGGGTACTTGCTGCCAGCTTCTCTTGCCAGTATTCTCAGGCTTCATCTTCCTAACTGATCAAAGAGGTTGCATTGCCCGTCTTCTGAGGCCTCCAGACTCGGGTAGCTGGCCCAGAGGCACCTGGCCCATTGGTAAAAGAGCCTGGCTAGAAACCCATGTTGTCTGACAAGCTGTTCTCTTCTGGGACACTACACTGTCTGTCTGAAACATCACAGTAAATGCTCAGCACCCAGAACCTGGCTAGGCGAGAAGGGAGTGGTGGCTTTCTCAGCCCAGCAAGGGAAGTAGCAGACCATCTGGACACCCTGTCTCTGCCCCCCTCCATCCCGGGCCCAGGTTGGGGCAGATCCATCCAGATGTGGCCCAGCCTCCCTCGAGGCTCTCTGGGCCCAGGGACAGCATGTTCACTCACAGGCAGGGCTATTTTGAGGGCTGAGGCCATGGTCCCAGCAGAGCCTTGGGCTTGGGCTTCTCAGACAAATTCTGGCAGGCAAGGCTAAGAAGGGCGGACAGGGGCAGGGGAGGGGGTGCAGGCTGGGGATAGAAAATGGGCCTCCCCACTTCCTGTCTTTAAATCCTACAGATACCACTTATGCTATGTCTGGAGGTCATCTGGATACCCAGATCCCATGAGAATGCTGGGACCATCCTCCTTGAACCTGTTTCCTCATCTATGAAACGGTGACAAATGATTGTAGTTGCTGCTCCAGACACAGCCAAATGTGTAAACTGCCATGAGCCCTTAGAAAAGATCCTGACCAGTCTCCAGTTTGTCCCCTGTGAACTAAGTGCCAAGAGTGTTTGTGAAGGGCACGAGGGCTCAAGCGACAGTCCTGGCTTCTGGGCCCTGCTGTGCACCAGACTGCCTGTTGGACTTAAGACAAACAACCTCACCTCACTGAGCATGAGTTTTACTTTTAGGATTACTCAAGTTAATATGGGTCATACAAGCTAATGGATATAACCCCGAGCACAGCATAGGGAACATAGTAAGTATTCAGTTAACGTTCACAAGTATGGTTGTCAGCATCATCTTGTAACAGCATCTCCTGGGCTCTGCCACCCCATCACCACTTCTGCTCCTGAGCTGGAAACAACAGAGAATCTAGTCGACTCCCCACCCCCAGGACAAAGGGAAACAGGGCAGAGACAAGGACTGCCTTTCCTTCTCCTATGCACAACTCTTACCTCAGAGGCCATCATCCCTCAGGCCCCTAGCAGCAAGGTGCTATGGAGAACTATTTCTACAGCAACCCCAGCCCAGACTGGCCAGGGAGGAAGGGAGCAAGTGAGTCAGGATGAAGGGACAGGGACCTTGAGGCTTCCCAGACCTTAGAGCTCAAAGGGTAGCAGGAGCTGCCTAAGACAGTCAGCTTTCCTTCAGCTGAGTTCTGGAGGGGCCAGAACTGGCGAGGATCACCTCTCTTGTTTTTCCCAGAGGAGCCACAGCTTTTGAGCGTGGTTTCTACAGCCATATTTGGCTGAGTTCTTGGTCCCATACACAGATCCCAAGGAAGCAGCCAGCCCAGGCAAGGCCGCTTGAGCTAGGGGATGGGCCTGAGACCTACAGAGAAGGCCCTAGCCTGCTTGGTATAGCCGTGGGCAGGTGACCAACAGCCCTTCTCACCAGGCCTGCTGTATAAGCCTCCTAATATCACCTGTTCCCCTCCTGAATGGGGATCCTGCTCCATCACTGGAACCAGTGATGGGGACAGCCACAGCGCTCGTGGTGCCCTGCTTGCTGAGGTATCTCAGTGATAACTCATGGAGAGTGCTGAGCACAAATCAGTGCTCAGGAAGACGGTGGCACTGTTGCTGACAGTCTCTGTCTCCCTTCCATACTCTTGCATCGTTAACTTCTTCCCACTTCCTTCTCTAGGTCACGATTCCAACCCCCAGCCACGGGTGTGCTGCTGGTAGCGCACCCTTTCCTCTCCCTCCCTTTGTAACTTCCCACAGAAGCTCTTCAGCTCTCACCCTGGGTCTGGGCTTCCTCTGGGTTCTGACAGTCCCCTTTTGCCACCCTCCTCCCGCCTCCATCAGATGGCGGCATCCTTGTCTTCATCTCCCTGTCCAGGCTCTGACACATCACTGGAAGCACCTGGCTTGGCTAGGGACCCACCGCTTGCTTCTCTAGGTCCATTCTCAGAGCCAACAGAAGCCAGCTGCTGGGTTTTCAAAGTTGCTGAACAGAACAAAGCAGAGAAAGGCAGTCAGGGGTATCACAGAGGGACTGGGCCACCCTTTCATTGCTGGCTGTATGACTGAGGGCCCAGGCCTGGCTCCCCAGCCCAGCCAGGCACGTTAGGGAATCTGGAAAGGGTACAAATAAGAGCCTAAGGAGGAAACTAAGGGAGCCATGGATGAGAAGCCAGCATGGAGGTCTGATAAGCCACAGTGGTGGGGGGTGGGAGGCCAGGACACAGAGGCCTCCCTAGCTCAGGCTGGTGTAGGGAATCCAGAGCAGCTGTGAGAATCAAGTGTGGTGGAGTCAGGGGACCTGACTATAAACTCCCTTTCCCCCACCAATAACCTTCGATTGGCCACCAAAAGCCAGGCAGAACTCTGTGAGCCTCAGTTTTCTAGATATAAACAATAGCTGCTAAAACGCAGTATTGTCACAGGGATAGGTTTTTCCTTTCTGTAGGAAAAGCCCAGGTCAGAAAAGGGGAGAGGTTGGGGCCTGAATAAGTTTTCAGCTAAGAAGATCCTGGGCAGCCTCTTCTGCTATCCAGCTCCTACCCAAACCCTACATGCAGGTTCACCCCTCACTTAGGTGTCCTGTCCCCGTGGTTCATTCTTTCAGGGGACCCCATGCTTTCTCCTACTGCTCAGCAGCTGGGTTCAAGCTTGGGCTGATGGCAAATGCTCCCATTCCTTCTGGGTTTCTTGCTTTAAGGTCAGGTCTGAGGACAGGGGACAACTGAAGTCCGGGTAGCTTAGGATAGCACATGCCCAGCAACTCTAGAGCCTGAACCTTGTAAATGTAGGTATGGGATTTCATTTCCTAGGGCCTCAGGTTCTCTTCCCAACAAACTCCCTGCTGACGGTGCTCTGGTGAGGAAGAGCAGGCCAAGAAGTGCATCCAAAGCAGAGAAAGGAAAGGACTCTGCAAGTGAAGTCAGTTATTCTGTCCTCACCCTTCCTATAAGTGAGAAAGGTCAGCTCTGCACACCTTTAGCTGGAGCAGTATCCGTCAATGCACAGTCAATACACAACTAAATCAGAGTCGGGCTCAGAGGTTCTCTGCGCCCTTCTGTTTGGGGGACAGAAGGCAAGTGGCTCTGTTTCATGTCACTACTAACCACAGTTGCTTAGCCCTGGCTCTGCAGGGGTCTCTGCACCTCCGGCCCCAGAGAGACCCTGTTCCCCAATGAACCAGGCCCCGAGGTCGCAAGCGCAGAGCACTCACCCCCTTGCGCTGGTTGCTGAGGCAGAAGGTGCAGATGGAGCGCGGCTGGCGGCCGTCGGCGGCGGACGCGGGGACTGAGCTCTTGGCGTTGCCGGCCGCACGGAAGCACGGCTGCCCGTCGTCGGCTGCGTCGCCCAGCAGCAGCACGTTGGCCAGGTGCGCGATGTAGCTGGACGCCAGGCGCAGCGTCTCGATCTTGGACAGCTTGCGGTCCACCGGCTCGGTGGGGATGAGCGTGCGAAGCGCCGTGAAGGCCGTATTCACGCTCTGCGTGCGGTCCCGTTCCCGCGCGTTGGCCGCCTGCCGCTGTCGCACCACCACCACGGGGCCCGCGCCGCTGCCCGCCCGCCGCCCGCCCCCGGGGCCCGGGCCGCGCCGCGCCGCCTCCAGGCCTTCGCAGCAGCCGAACGACTGGTCCGACGCGTCGCTTTCGCTGCGGTTTTCCTCGTCCTCGCTCAGCAGCCTTACGTCCGGGTACAGCACGTGCGCGCCGACGGGGCGCAGCAGTGCGAAAGCCATCGGCACCCAGTCGCGTCCCTCCTCGCGCCGTGTCCCCGGGTCTGCAGCGTACCGCCGCGAGCTCCCGCGCGCTCCCACGACCAGCCGGCCACCGCCTTATAGCCAAGGGAGGGGCCAATCACAACGCGGCCCTAGTAGGAGGCGGGGGCTCTGCCGAGCCAATGAGGAGGCGCCGCTCACACCCCAGCCAATGGCACCGCGCCGCTCTTTTCCAGGTTGAAAGAGGCCAGCGAGCTGGTGTCCCACCCCGAGGGCTCCGGTTTCTGCTGGCCAGCGGGTTAGATGCTGGAGGTCTGGGTGAGTGGAGTGGAGCTCAGCTCCGAAATCCTGGACTGCAGACAGGGTGCTTTTTCTGTGTCCTCATTTGGGAAGTGGATTTTGGGAGTCATCCAGCCCTTGTAGTGTAATCTCGTGATTTCCCCAACCTTTGTGTGGTAGGACCCGAAGGGGCTTTTGGCACTATGGCTCTAGGGTTGCCCCATTTGATTCAGTTGTTCTGAAGCCTGGCTCAGGAAACTACGTCTGGTGTCCATGGGGAACACTTGGAGAAATGCTAAACCATTCAACAGTGTCACCTTCCTAGCAACAATCTTTAAAAGCAAAATGAAACCAAAACACACAAACACTATTCATTCATTTGTTCATCCAGCCAGTAGGTGTTGAGTTCCTACTGTCAGTCCTGGGTTTAGTATGAAGACTCAGATTAAAAACCCTCTGCCTTGTAGTCCTCTCAGAGCTGGCAGACGTGGTTCTGGGGACTTTAGTGCTCTCTGCTTGGGCTGTGGAGCAATGTTTCTTATTTACAGACAAGAAAATTGAGTTGGGTGTGGTGAGAGAAGCTGAGACAGGAGGATCGCTGTGAGTTCGAGGACAGTCTGGGTTACATAGTGAGTTCAAAACCAGCCTGAACTGCACAGCAAGACCCTGCCTAAAAAATAAAGAAAGAAATAAATAAATAAGGCAAAAAGAGAGCTGGCCTTCAGCTTTATAGGTGGTTGAGTGAGGGTGCCAGCTTAACCTGTCTGGTGTCACAACTTCTGGAATCCACCACCACTGGTACACATAGACTGGAACTTCTGGAATCCACCACCACTGGTACACATAGACTGTCTTCCCTCATTCCTGCTTTCCTTCCAGATACTTGAATGTTTGACCTATGTGTCCTCCTCCACAGAGGCCTGGGGAAAAATAACTGAGCTGTCAATGGTCACTGAGGCCCCTCATCACTCATTTCTGCTTCCCTGCTCTATCCCAGTACTGCTCTAATTAGCATCTATTTGGCCTTGAAAAGAACTTTCTCTTCAGCTCAGATGATGCTAGTGTGACAGGACTGGGTAGAAGGCTTCCTGGTGCATTTGGCTCCCCTGGGCCCTCATATTCTTGGAGGTGCCTCCCAGCTTTGCCATGCTGGGAGGGTGTCTTCGGGTTCCCTGACCCCAGAAAGTGAGAAAGGGAGAGAGGGACTTGGAATTTCCCTTGGCTTCTGGGAGAGGAGCTTCTAAGTCTTCAGAACCCAAGATCTGTCGGACAGTGTGTTCCCACACCTGGCTCCTCCACCCCCACACCATTTGACCGTGACCCTGGCCAGGCTGGGCTTCGGAGGAGGAGAGGGAGCCTGTATGACCCCTCCCCGCAGGGCCTGTCCCACAGGCAGCCCCAGGCCCTGCTATTGCTGCTGCTTCCTGAGTAGATGAATTATTGCTAGGAGATTTCCTTCCCTGTCTGCGCCTCCTCATGGGGCTCCCAGCTCCCTTCACTTTCACTTTCTCCCCCTTCTCCCCCTTCTCTCTCTGCTCCTGACCCTCAGGCAGCTTGAAATTCCTCTGCCAGCTCCCTTCCATTTGCAGCTTAAGACTGGAGATGCTCAACAGAGCGCGAACTAGCCCGGAAGACCAGCTCATTCATTCATTCTCTTGGGCCATTTTTAACACAAGGGATCTGGGAGTAAAATAAAACCATGAATGAGAAGGAGGTGGGCTGCTGCAGTGTGGGGAAGGCAAGCTGTAAACAAAGAATTTCAGAACAATGTGGCAGGAACAAGCCAGGCTCTGGCATCAGAGAGACCCAAGCCAGTTCAGAGGTTAGCTACCTCTTGGTGTAATTTTGCTGCTGTAAAGACCAGGCTAAGGTGGTGATGGCATCATGCAGTGATGCCAAGAAAACTGAGCCCTGGCACCCAGAAAGAGTCTGGTCTCTGAGAGAGAGAGAGGTCTGTGCTGCTGTGCTGTGGCTGACCCTGGGACAGGACTGAGCCTGTCACTTGTCGCATGACTAGTCATTGAAAGTGAGGGGGGCTTCTGTGATGTTCTTGGTCTACCAACCCAAGGGGCCTCAGCTTGTCCCACTCTGTCCTTCACTGCTGGCGCCACACTAGGTTCTTTTCTGTCCTTGGCATGACTGTCCTCAGGTCTCCCCAGAGTGTACCCCTCTACTTCCTTTAATCCTCCTTGAAATCTGCTCCTCAGGAGCCCTTGACCACCAGGACTCAAAAGGTCACTCTCTCCCTCCTGCTAGCACCCTTGTGCTCCCTCTCACTCTACCCTGCTGTATCTTCTTCTACAGCCTTTATCGCTACCATTTATTCATTCTGCAAGCATTCATTGAGCAATGGCAGCATGGTAGGCATAGTTCTGGGCCCTGGAAATATAGCAGTGAAAACATGGTATATTTTTGATCCGCTCTGTGTATCTCACTGGCAGAATGCATATTTACTTCCTGTCTATCACAAGCTTCTGATACAGCTATTGTTGTTCTGCTCATTTTATCATAGGGAAACAGAGTCAGGAGAAAATAACTTGCCCAAGGTCACACAGTAGCCACCGTGCGAGCACAGGGTAGTGGGGTTCCACAGCCCTTGCTTGCTCCCTCCCACCATCTGCCTTGCAGACAACCCAGAGGCATGGAAGGGCTGAGCAGTGGTCACCAGGTGAGTGAAGGCTGAGGGGACAGTGCTGGTCCTGCTGCCCTGATCTGGACCATGGGCCCTGGGCTTCTGAATGCTAAAGCACTTAGCCTTTCTCTATGGCATCAGTCTTTGTGTCTGTCCTCCCTAGGGAGGGCCACACAGATCACCCCCCCCCACTGCAATGCAAAGTCTCACAATGTGCGTCACAACAGCTTGTGACATCTCCTCCTAATCCCCTTCTCTACCCCTCCCAACAGGGCACTTGCTCGAATGCTTTTGATGCCTGTTTCTGGATATATATGTGTTCTTATGGAACATACATGCTACCAATCCTTAATGTACACAAGAGGTAGTTTCTATAGATTTGTTTCTTAGATTATTTTGTTTTATTATATTTTGTTTCCTCGACACTGCTCTGTGTGCCGAGTCTAACTCAGATCCATTGCTTCCAGCTGCTACTCAGTGTGGGTACTATACACACATCCACCGGAGTTCCTTTTCCCATTCCTTTGGGGATAGACATGGGCCACCTCCAATTTCCCTCTCCCAAAGCAAAACTGCAGTGAATTTGAAGTATGTGAGTCTCAGGGACTCCTGTGTGTGTCACTCAGGAGCAGATACTGGGGCAGAATCACTTGAGTACTGTTCAGCTGCACCGTGACACCTGTCCAGTCTACACACCCACCGGCTGGGCGAGGCCCACTTCCCTGTCTTACTTAGCACTAGAGTCAGTTCACTTCCCAATGACAGAGAGTTGGCTGTTTTCTGTCTCATTATGCTTGTCTGTCTCACTGAATGGCGAGTCCTCCAGCATCCAAGGCCAGAGCCTGGCATGCTATGTACAGGAATGGGTGACAGAATGAATAGATGAATAAGGAAGCTAATACACGGCCTTCCATACCTACATTATGTCAAACCTCAACTAGATGGGGGTGGTACACATGTGTAAGTTTGTGTGTGGATAGAGAAGAATAAGACAAAGTCCTATACCTCGATCTGCTTAGAGAAAAGGATGACTGAGAACATTTGTCGGAGCCTACTCTGTGCCAAAAACTCATAGGTGTATTAATTGCAACCATAAATGTTATACAGTATCAAAACCTATTTCCCTCTCATATTCCAGACATTCTGTGGGGTTGTCCCAGGTGCTAAAATAGCTCCTAGTGAGCCTCAGCTGCTGGTATCACCCCTTTTGTGTAGTGTCCTCTTTCCATGGAGTTGGATATGACTTCTGTGACTAAAAAAATGACAGAAATGACAGCGTAGGACTGATGAAGACAGAGTGCTTTTGTGCTGTTCTCTTGAATCACTTAGCTTGGGGACAGCAGCCACCACGTCATGAGGACATATCATGAGCCGTCTGCATTCTAAGTGATGGAAACAAAAAGAGGAAGATGAAGGAGGAGCATGCTTCACCTTTAAGGATGCTTGCCTGGGAGTGATGCCTTCTGTTCGTGTCCCACTGGTGTATATTTGATCATACTTAACTGGAAGGGAGGCTGGGGAGGCAATGTTTCTTGCAGATGGCCACATATGCAGCTGAACACTGGTGTCCGTTGGTAGAGAAGAAAGGAAGGACGGACATGGGGAACAGTGGATGGTGTCTGCCTGGGGAGGGGTGCGGCATCTGTGTGTCACATGGTTGAGTCTGCAGATTTGGGAGCCTCACTGCCTGGGTTAAGATTTAGCTTTGCTGTTTACCAATTGTGTGACCTTGGGAAGTTTTCTGTGGCTCAGTTTCTTCACCTGTAAAATACAGACTGCAGTAGAACCTGCCTCAGTGGGTCACTGTGTGGCTTGGATGAGTTTACATAGGTAGTGTTTGTAATAATGCTGCACACAGTGCATGAAGTATGCTTTAGTCTTTACTAGAAATCTCTCTAACTTCACATAAACAGTCAGTGATGGGGGCAGAATTTGGGTTGGGAACACTTTTCTTCTTTTGCCTCATTCCATCAGAATTCTTAAGAGAATAAGATTGAGGCTCAGGTCAGTGCCTGGCACAGTTGAATGAAATTTATATTGTGTCCCCATGCTTACTTATTAGTTTCTGTTCTGTCCTGTTTTATATTCAAGTTAATGAGGATCCTCCATTGACCCATGTGGGTCCTCCAGAATGGGGCTGAGGCCTTGGATGCTACTACTTAGAACTGAGTTCCTTCATGTCATCGAGTCAAGGGT